TCCCCCCCCCCGCCCGCGTATTTTTCTCTCTCTCTCTCTCTCTCCCCTGAAAAAAAGAAATTATAAATTTTTTTTTGAACTTTGCTTTATCATAAAATTAAATGGGGCCCATTAATTCTAACGGTATTCGATCCGATACGAAATAGAAGTAGTAAATAATTAAATAATAATAATAATAATAATAATAAAACTATTTTCTTCTCTTCGCGATGTTGTTGTTGTTGTCGTTATTACTGTTATTATTACTATTTTAATAACGAATCATTATTAATAATAATAATAAAAAATCATAATAATAATAATAAACGTTAATTACGAGAACTAGGTGAGAAAATGTTGTTGTTGTTGTTGTTGTTGTTATTGTTATTATCATTATTATTATTAATAACAATATTTAATATTTTTTTTATTATATTTTTTTGCCTTGTTTTTATTTCAACATCATCTCACCATTCATCATCACGTTTATTTAATAATTCAAACAACGTCAGAGACGTTACTTTGCTTTTTATAATTATTATTATTATTACCATTATTGGAGAACGAACAAACAAACAAACAAACAAACGAACAAACACATACATACATATATATATAAAATATTTTTAATAACGTTTCGACTCATTAAAAATTTAAAAATTAATATAAAAAAAAAAAAAATTTCGTATTCGCTAAGGTTGTTAAAAAAAACCGTTTCGAATTGATATATACCTGATTCGTTTCCACAAAAGGTTTGAGAGGTTTCCCCCTCCCCCTCCCACTTCCTCCCCCCACGGTTTAATTATTATCGATCCTTCTTATTCTTCTTGTTTTTAAACGGCAAATTTTTTTCAATAAAATTATCATTTATTTATCATTCGTACGTAAGCAAACGAGATAATATTTCGAACCATTAGTTAGTTATTTTATTTATTATTATTATTATTATTTATTTATTTATTTTAAATCGCGCGAGCCTGTACGCCATATTTTTTTTTTTTTGTAGCAGATTGATTTATTGTTTAAATTTTTGAATAACCTTAATTTTAAATCATGACGTTAACGCACAAGGGCATTACGTGTTAAAATTAAAGCTTGAGTTTTTTTTTTTTTTTTTTTTTTTTTTTTTTAATAAAATGCAATTACGCATGGATTTTTTTTTCGATTATCGAGAAAATTTTTTTACGCATATGTACGCACACACACACACACGCACAAATAATAATAATAATAATTTTTTCGGTAACTTTTACTGCAACCGACCATCATTAATTATTTTTTTTAATTTTTTTTTGTACGATGTGCGATTAAACAATTTTGCCCCCCGGGAAATACGTTTTGTGCCATTGCAAATTTTTTTTTTTTTTTACTATGTAATAACATTGGGGGGAAAACAATAATAATAATAATAATACTAAAAGTCATGGGTTCTTGACAATAAAAAAAAAAAACTTTAGTTTTTTTTTTTTTTTGCGAATCGAAGCACGTATTTTTTTTTTCTTTAATTCAACGGTCAAGATTACATGGCGAATTTCCGAGAAACATTGTTTTTGTTTTTAAATTAATAATTATTTGAATTGGTAATAATTTTTTTTTTGTTCATCTCCCTTTGTATTTGTAATAAAACAAAAAAAAAAAAAAAAACGAGTACCGAGTATTTTGATATACACGTACGAACTTTGTTCCCATCTAGCAAACAAGTCTACGTATTTTTTTTTTTTTGTTCTTCTCCCCAAACGATTTCGACCACCTCTGTTACATTAATAATAATCACGAACCGCAGATACCAAAAAAAAAATTTATTCGAAAATTATTATCATTCGAAACGATTCGAAATCATCACCGATAATGCGGTAAAAAATAATAATAATAAAAATATCTGCAAAGTTTCGAACGTGTACTCATTTTTTTTTTTTGTTTCCCACCGCCATGTTTGCGATCGATACCCATGAATACCCGTGAAAATAATAACCATCGTGCAAAAAAAAAAAGGAAAATCGTAATGAAAAAAAGAAAAATCTCCCTGAAAAATCCCTGCTATCCCCCTAAGATTTATCAAATCTTAAGGATTTCGAAAAAAAATAAATAAATTTTCACGATTTCATTTTTGTGAGTTTACAAAACTCCACGTGTCTTTTCCCCTTCTTCGAACGAGTATTCAAAGTTTTTTTTTTTTTATAAACTAAATGAGTAAATTACTTTCTTTAACGACATAATGCATTTTCGTGCATAATATAATTTTACGACGACACTTTCAGCATAATTGTATAAGCACAACAAAAAAATTCCCTTCCGCCTTCTTCTCAACAACAACAACAACAACAATAACAATAATAATAATAATAAATTTCTGTTGCCCTGTCCTAATTTAGTCTCGTCAAATTTCATAATTTCTATTTGAAATAATATTCTATTGCCACGAAAACTCATCTAAAAAAAATGAATGCCTTAAAACTTATGTTACATATCGAAAAAATAATAATTTAGAAAAAAAACTAACACGTGGTGGTTTTATTTTTACTCACTCACGTGTCACTCAACAACACACACACACACACAACCTTATCATTTAGGTAACCCATTTTCTTTTTTTTTTTTTTCCTTGTCTCCTTTCGGAAAAGTAAGTAGTAAACGTGTTTAAAAAAAAAAAAAAATCCCGGGAAATAATAATCTCCCCAACATCATTTTGACGAAGAAAAAAAAAATAATAATAATAATAGTAGGAGTCGCGTAGTATTTAGAACACAATTTTTTCACGATTGGAAAATTTTTTTCTTTTTTTTTTAGGGACTAAATTTAACTTTTCCTATCAATTTCCGGGTGTTAAAAAATTAAAAATTGGGTTCAGATAAACTTTGACCTTGCCTTAAAAAAAAAGTGCGTGTGGAATTTGAAGAAAAATATTACATAATAATAATAATAATAAAAACAGATTTTTTTCAATTTAAGTTTTCTCTCTCTCTCTCTCTCTCTTTTAAAAACAAAATAATTTTTCGTTATTTAAAACATGTCGTTCGCATGTAAAAAAAAAACAATAAAAACAAAAACATCGCCGATCGTTAACGACGAACAAATAGTAATAATAATAATAATAATAATAATGAAAATAACAAAAAAACGCAAAAACATTGAAGAATGAATACCATCGCGCAGCGTAATTGAAAATAATAATAATAATAATAATAATAATAATAATAATAATAATTCGTACAAGGACGAGTGTAAGGAGAAAAAAAAAAAAAAAAATGATTTTAACTTGCTGAAGAAAAATGAATAGAATTATTATTATTATTTTATTTTATTTTTTTTTTCGGGTTTTGAATTTCGTTTTGACCCAAAGGGCGGTGACCCATAGTAAAAATAGATTCTAGTAACCGCTGGAGGCTATTTTTTTTTTTGGAGAATAATCTTGTCCGGCGAGGCAATTTTATTCCAGCATAAAAATGTCATAACAATCGCCGCTCACGAAGATAAGAGAGAGAGAGAGAGAGAGAAAATCTATTTTTATCACACCCGAAATCCTTTAAAAAAAAAAAAAATTAAAAATATAAAAAATAATAATAATAATAATGAGGTATAATTACGGTTGAATAATAATAAAATTTAAAAAAAATGTTTAAAAATAATTTTTTGAATATTTTTTATTAATCGGGTGTGACACGCCATTTTATTAAAATTTTTAATCGAAAATTTGAAAATTTAAGACTCGTATGACGTCATCGCGAGTTTTAAATACGAAACGATTTGATTTTTAAAAGAGTAAAAAAAAAAAAAAATATTAATAAATGTAACGGAAGCGAGTTTTTTTTTTTTTGTTTTTTGCAAATATTAAATTGACATTAATCAATCTTAACCCTTTAAAAAGAAAACTATCATCGACCCCATTTTTAATCCCCCCTCCCTCAATTAATATAAGTTGATTTTAAGGGTGAATTCCATTAACAAGGAAACTTAATATTGTGTGTGTGTGTGTGTGTGTGCGTGTGTGTTGACTATATTGAAAAATCGTGTTTATGTGATAACCCCCACAGTTAGTCGGTTAGTCATTTGGTCGTGATTTATAAACAGGCAAATATACGTCTTGTTAAATTTAAGGCTTGAAATAATTTTTTTTTTCAAATTATAAACTCTAAGAATTGATGATTGGGCCGTTGTTTGGTTTATTTACATGCATTGTCGTCATCATCATCATTATTATTATTATTATTTTTTTTTTTTAGTCTCTATTGTGAAAAATCAAAAGCATCATCGCTATTTTTAATTGAACGGTAACACCCACATTTAAAAAACGCGAAATTTTTAGAGAATGCATTGACGATAAGCTAAAAAAATTGTTTTTTTTTTTTTTTTTTTCTGTCGTGTCTGAATAATTAAATAAATAAAACAAATAAATATTGTTTAAAACTCTCAAATAAATAATCGTAATTAATTTTCATTTAAAAAAAAAAAAAAATTATTAAAAACGTATACGTTAAATTATTCTTTGATATTATTTAGATTGAATTGTTAAACAATTGTTATGATAAAATTAATTACGATTTTTTTTAATTTACGTTCCCCTGCCCTGGCAAACTAACATTAATCGCATTACTAAATTACGAAAATGTTTCCAACAGGGAAATAAAGTTAATTTTTTGATTATTAATTACTTAAAGGAAAGTTTTCTGGTACTTATATCAAATCGAAATGCAATAGAAAATATTTATTAAAGTTCTTACCTGCCCGGAAATCATGTATACTAAAACGATTCCTAATGACCACCAATCGACAGCATGACTATATGATTTCTGTTGCAAAACTTCAGGAGCTGAAATTTAATTTAAAACAATTTTTTAATTAAATTAAGTTCATGCTTTCTTTTGTTGAACAAAAAACTTTTTAATTGTTCTCTTTTGAATAAATAAAAATAAAATATAATTTCAGCCATTTTATTGTCACACATTTATATTTAAGTCGCTTACCAATATACTGTAAAGTTCCACATATTGTATTGGTTCTCATTCCATATTTTAACCATTTTGATAAACCAAAATCTATTAGCTGAATATGTCCATCGCTATTTAATAAAATATTCTCTAATTTTAAGTCTCTGTATATAATGCCAGCATTATGTAAAAAATCTTGAAAAACAAAAAAAAACTGTATGTTAGGAAAAAATCAAAAGAAATTTTTTTAATTTAAAAAAAAAAAAAAAAATGGCTCACCAAGTGCCATGGCTAATTCAGCTACATATAACTTGACAATGTCCAAAGGTAAAAAATTTTTTTCTTGAAGTAATTTAAATAATTCTCCCCCTGAAATGAACTCGCTAACAATGTACAATTGTTTTCTACTTTGCCAATGATAAGGGCAATGTACAATAAATGGATTATGACCAATAACTTTTTGAATTTTAACTTCTTCTTTGACTTGATCGATTAAATTATTTGCAACCAATTGAGCTTTCGAAAGAACTTTCATAGCATAAATTTTATTATCATCGTTCTTTTTTACTTGATACACATTACTAAAGGCTCCTGAAGAAATAGTTCCAATAATAGAAAAGGAATCTTCAGTCACATCTTCTCTTATTTTAAATTCGGGAAGAAATAATGATTCAAAAAAAGGCACAGGCCAATTGGTTTTTGATAAGCTTAATGGACTTAGTGTTTTATCTTTCCACCTAAAAAAAAAAAAAATTACTTGTAGTGCAATTAACTGCCAAAATTGCTTAAAAATAGTTTTAAATATGGTAATAATAAATATTCAATCAGAATAAAAAAGAAGATTTAAACAAATGAAAAAACTAATGGTTTGAATTTATTATAATTAAATTTTAAAAACCTTTACCTCCCACTTTGGGGTATTATGTATCAGCACTTGTTAAAGCACATGATATACAAAATATATCATTTACTTTTAGTAACCTTTTTGTAGTAAGAATTACCATGATAATTTTTATTGAATTAAGAGAAATACACATATACATAAAATATAATAGATTACAATGTCCAAACAGTAATACATATAAAAAAAAGAAATATTTTTATTAACATACTTTCTTTTGGAAAATCTACCCCAAGGCCGTGTGAAACTGGAGAATGAGGAACTCGAGTTTTGGCTTGATAGACTAAGAGCATCTGTTTTTGGGTGAATAACAGATTCGGAAACACTGACCTGTTAGAAAATCTGAATTAAATAATGATCATAAAAATAATTGGAAAAAAATTTTTTAAATAAGCACTTGCCTCGTAAAAATTTGGTCGGTTGACATTGAGATATTTTACAAGTGTATTATCATCCAGTCCATTGTTTAAATTGACTGAATTTTGACATGAATTAGACTTTCGAAAAAGGTTTCCCATGAAACATAATTATTTAATTATCAACGAATAACGAATTTCATAAATTTTATAAAAATAAAATTTCATTTATTTGTAAATTTTATTTACATTCCTACTAAATACGACCGTTGTGAAATTAATGGTTTTTTTCTGCAATAAGTTGGCCAAATTGATTTTAGTAAAAGGAAAGTCTTCTGCTAATTTTTTTTTTTTCAAAGAAAAGAAAAATGTCTGTACTAAAGCATCAGCTGTTACTGCGAAATATTTATACAAATAGAGCTGTTTTAGATTCATTAAAAGAGCCATTAAAAGTTGAAGGCATAAGTAAATATGCAGGTAAGCAAAATACTAAAATATTTTTAATGAAATTTTTCGGTTTATAAACTTTGAATTATTTATTTTTTTGCAGAAACTGCATCTTTATGGAAAAAAACATTTATTTTTGCATGTATCCCCATTCTGGCTTTGTGTACTTTCAGTGTAATGATTGAAGAACATCCTGAACGCCCTGAATTTGTTAAATATTCTTACCTAAGAATTAGAAAGAAGAAGTACCCATGGGGAGATGGTAATAAAACTTTGTTTCACCATCCACATTACAATGCCCTTCCTGACGGTTATGAAGAATCAGAGGAATCTGCAAAGCATTGAAAAATATCGTTGTAAAAACAAGGGTAGAAATTGTCTTATTAATATAGGCAGATGTAGAAAATTAATTTTTTCATTACTTTAATTTCTAAATTAATTTTTATGGTTAAATTTTATAGAGAAACTTATCTTCTTTTTTGCTGCCTGTATAATTTATATTTACAAATACATAGCTTAACTAATTAAAAATTGATTTTTTTTTTATTTATACTTCTTATTATACACTAAAAGGAAGTTATGAATTAAAAATAAATATTAAAACCATTAAAATAAAAGTCTTTATTTTAAAATTTTAAAAACCATGAACATCACCACCTTTTCTATAATCTGCATTAGCAAAAATTGATTCGTTATACTTAGCAACTGCGCATACAACTGATGATCGATTTCTAGGCCTATGAACTTCATGTCCTAATTTTTGTAATCCTTTTATAATTTGCTAAAAATTAAAAATAAATGTACAATTTGTTTTACATTACTAAAATAAAAACATTAAAATAAAATTTTATTACATGAAGAATGCCATATTCATAACTCAAAGTTTTAGGAAATAACTGATGATGAATTCTACTGGCATCAACTGCAGTCTTAATATCTTCTCCAAACCAAAGATGACGTATTATTACCTATGAAAAAAAAAATTCAATTATTTAAATATTTTAAATATCTTGAAATTGATATTACATGGCATTTCCATAATTTATTTACATAAGCCACTGAAGTGGTAATCTTTGTTCCTCCAGCAGCTCCGACAACTAATCTTACATCACCATTTTCATCAACTAATATTGTTGGACTCATCGAGGAAAGAGGTTGCTTTCCAGGTTCTATTTTGTTAGCTTCTGCAGGTGGTAAATTAAAAAAGTTTTTAAGATATTTCGATGAAAAATCATTCATTCCACTGTTTAAAATTATTCCTGTGTTTTTAGATGTCACACCAGCTCCAAAACTAATGCCACATGAAAAAGTTTATTTAGTTTCATTTTGTATTTTTCCACGTTTGTACGACCTAAATTTTATTGATTTCATTTGATTTTTTATTATACATACTATAAGTTAATTGTGCTTGTTGCAGAAACAGCATCGCCATCGGGCGAAATGACTGATACATGTGCTGTGCCATGATCGTCTTTATTTACAAATACTGCTCCATAATAACTAGGATCGTCATATGTAAAATTGTCGTTTATTTTTCCCCGGAGAGTTTCCCCAACTGATTTATCAGTAAAGTCATAAACTAACTTTTGAAAAAAAAAAAAAAAAAAAAAAAAACAAAAAATTTTCAAATTAAGCTTACTTTATAGTTATTTAAATATTTTTTGAACAAACAATTTAAGTTCAAACTGTTTAAAAAAGTTTGTCAAAAATTATTGAAAATTATATAGAAAAAGAAAATGTCGAACCAACCTTGGTAGTATTAACAAACCGTGGATCCCCCAATTCTGTTCTTTTAGCAAAAGCAAATTTAAATGCTTCTATTATACGATGATAAGTCAAAACTGTTTCATCAATGGTACTTATACTTTTTTCACTAAAATGATACCCGTCTAAAATATTAAGTATCAGAGCTAAAAGTGCTCCACTTCCAGGCGGAGGAACGCTATACATTT